CCCCCCCCGCCAGCCATGGCAACATGACTGCAGAACTGAGGGCTTCTCAGAGTCTGGTTTCAAGCTATCCTCCAAGGAGAGTGTCAGCAACGGGCAACCAAGTGAGGTGGGGAGGAGATCCCCATTGCCTGCCATCAGAAGCAGCTGCTCAGTATAGAGCTTTTCTCCGGGACGGGGAGCTTCCTCTGGGAAGCTGTGCTTTGTCAGCGGGGCTGATGTCTGTACTGACGGCTCACCAAAGACAGAAGCTAAGCCACGAGTCCCAAGAAAGCCGAATAAGCAGAACAAAGAGACAGAGGACACAGCCAGGGGATCTCAAACCCAGCCCTCGCTGTGTGCTGAATTGTGCCCCACCAAAATCACGGGCCAAGCCCAACCCTCCCACATCTCACAAGGTGACTGTATTTGGTGATAGGCCCTTTAAAGAGGCGAATCAGTTACAATGAGGCCGTTAGGGTGGGCCCTTGGCCAATCTGACTGGTGTCCTTGGAAAAAAAAGGGCAGCTTGGACAGAGATAAGGGGTGCATGCGCACGCAGGAAAGACCCAGTGAGGACACAGCAAAGGCATGGCCCTCTGTAAGCCAAGAGGCCTCAGAAGAAACCAACCCTGCTAACACCTTGATCTTGGACTTCCAGCCTCCAGAACTGTGGAGACAATTAATTTCTATTGTGTCAGTGCCCCCCCTTCTGTGATGACAGCGCTAGCAGACTAACCCAGCCCTCCTTAACTGCAGGGTCTTCCGACTCGTACAGCCCAGCCAGTGTGTGGGTTTAATCTGCTCTCGACTCGGCCTCACTCTCATCCACCGGTTAGGGGCCCTCTCTTTTATTTGCTCACTTACTACTTCTGGATGAATTCATCGTTAACACTGCCAGCAAATATTAAGTGAGCCTCTATCAAGCCCTGGGAAAGACCCAGCCCTGCCCTCTCAGTGATGGACAGGGCTGATGGCACGTGCGTAGCAGCACGTACAAGCCTCCCCACCCGACACAGCTCCATCAGTGTCTGAAAGCGCAGGGTTCGGGGTGGAAGCGGAGAAGCCATGACTCGTCCCAGGTGTGTGTGTCCCTGTCTCACCCAGGCTCGTCACAGCCCTGTCCCACCACTGCAGCCACTATCCTGCCTGCAGTGTCCACAGGCACGCTCAGCACCTTGCTCGGCCTTTTGGTTCTTCAACCTCCTCGTGTATGACGTGTGTGAACAATGGCCCTTCGGCTCCAGCTCAGCCATCCTCCTACTCCCCCAGTCGCCCCCTAGACTCTTATTGCTGGAACAGAGCCATTTCCGAAACCAGGAACGGAAGCGTCCCTCTCCAGCGTGCTCCTTCAAACTTTTGGGTCCTCAATTAGTCCACGGGCTCTTTTACCTTCTCCTTATTCGTCTCCCACCTCACCCAGCCCCGTTTCCATAGGCCCCCACTGCAGCCGCACACTCGCCTAAACCTGTGGATTCCCTGCTGCTCTGCCTTCACAGCAGCCACCTGGATGAACCCAGCTATCGTCCCACATCTTGCTGAATAGCTGAGTCCTGGGGAGGAAAGCTCAAGGCAGATTGGGACCTCTACTCATTTAGAGAGGCTGCCAACCTTTACCAGGTGCGCCCCTAACACTGCTCATTTTGGGGTCACTTGAAAGGATTTCAAACCATCTTTACTCTCCTCAAACCCCAGGCCTCCCACCTCTCTCTCTCTCTCTCAGCAGATTCTCTTTCCTCCTAATTCATTGAGAAAACAGCAGCCGCCCCAAGGTACTCTCCCAACTTCTCGTTACCTTCCGGCTGACCTAGGTAGGCATCTATCTTCTTCCCTCCAACTACAATGTCTAAAGCCAGTCCTCTTATCTCTGCTTGGATCTCATTCCTGTTCATTAGCCTCCTCAACTAGATCCTTCCTATTGGATCAACTCTTCTCCCATTAAAACCCATCACAGATTCCTTCCTGGACCCCTCAACTCCTGCAGCTAATGCTCTAAACCTCCCTTTCTTTCCCCCAAACTTCTTGAAGGAGTTGTGCCTCTTCATGACCCCCTCTCAGCCAGCCCACTGCAGGGTGGTTTCCGCCTCCATCACATGACTGGAACATCTCTGGCTGAGGTGGCTGGTGTCTGCATATTACTGTTTGCCTCTTCAGCTGCATCAGATACGGTGCTCACCTCTCCTCCTCAGCTCTCCTTCCCTGACTCCCAAAACACTTTTGTGGCTATCCTCCCTCTCCAGCTGTCTTTCTGAGCTTCTTTGGCAGGCTCATCCTCCTCTCACCAGCCAACAAACTTCCACGTTCTGTCCTAGGCTCTCCCCTCACCTCAGCCTGCACTCTGCTCTGCCCTAGGAGATCTCATTGCCACGTATACCCAGATGTCTCTCAGCTCTTTATCTCTGGCCTCATCTTTATTCTGACTTCCAGACGCATCTAACTGAAACTTGATGATTCAAAGGCACCTCAAATTCGTGGTCTTCCTCAGTCCTCCAGCCCTCAAACCTGGTCTCTGTTCAGTATTCCCCAACTCATCTGTCCAGGTCCTGAAGCCATAGCCCAGGAGTCACCTCTTTCCCTTCCTGCCCTCACCATACCCCAAATCTAAAACATTTCCATGTGCTTATGATTTGTCTTCCAAAATCTCTCATTCTATATGTCTCTCCGTGCCCCTGTCCCTGGTGCAGGCTCCCCTCATTCTTCCGGACTACAGCAATAGCTTTGCATGCAGCAGCCACCCCATCCCTGCAAGCTGTTCTGCACAGTAGGGCTAGAGTCACCTATCAAAAAAAACAACAACAACAGGGGCGCCTGGGTGGCTCAGTTGGGTAAGTGTCCGACTCTTGGTTTTAGCTCAGGTCATGATCATCAGGGAGTCTGCTTCCCTTTGGCCCCCACCCGCCTGCCGCTCCTACTCTCTCTCTCTAATAAATAAAATCTTTAAAAACAAACAAACAAAAAACAGTTTCCCACTGTTCTCAGGATAAAACCCAAAATCTCTACCATAGGCAAATGCCCTGGCCTTGCCCAACTCCCCCACATCAGTTTACATCAGACTTTGACTTTCTTTCTGCTCTCAGCCTCTCTGAGCCTTCTTTCAGTCTCTTAAATTCCACCAGTGGCCTCCATAGGGCCTCAGGACCTTTCCACAGGCTGTTTTATCAACCCGGAGTGTTCTTTCTCCTGCCTCATCCCTCAAACCTCTGCTTAAATGGGAGCCTTGGCTGACCACCTATTTTGGGCAGGGTGCCTGTTCGACCTCACATAGCACATGGATTTTCACACATGGGCCTCAACACGCTTATTACATCATCTTTCCTGATGAGCATCACATTTCTTCTCAAACTGTAGGTTGCCCTAGAGCTGTTTTGATCATTGCTATATCCCCAGAAACTAGCACAGGTGTACTATACTGAAGTTCACAGGGCTAAAGACCCCAGCATTGGAGGTTTAAGAAAACCACTTTCCAGGGCGCCTGGGTGGCTCAGTTGGTTAAGCGACTGCCTTCGGCTCAGGTCATGATCCTGGAGTCCCAGGATCGAGTCCCGCATCGG